CTCCACGGAGCATGGGGAGCATTAAATGAGCATTTAATGCGAGCACTGTAGCTTTTCCGTTTCATACTCCTAGCCGTTGAGGGAATCTTTTAGTTGACTTCCCGGCTTTGTGGATTTCTTCCAAGTGTCAGACCTTCTGGTGTCTTTGGCAGAGAACTGATCAGAGAAGATCTTGAGCACTTCTGTTGATAGTAGCTTACAGAGAACCAAGAGGGTTTCTGTCAAGCTAAAGGGTTATAGAAACCCTGAGGTTTTCTGTTCCTCGACAGAGAACCAAAATCTTCTGTCAGGAGGTCTTCTGGTAGAGAGGCCTTCTGGTAGTCGATTATGCTAAGAACTTTACAAAGGAAAATTCTAATACATAATTTCTAAAAGAGGTACCCTAAAGTCCTAATCAATATAGCATCATCAAAATCTAAATACAATTATTCCTTACAGTTGAGATATGTGGAATACATTGTGTACATAGTATTTCACACGTTAGTATTTTTAGATTAAAATTAAGGTTAAGGGTTTCAAACACTTCTTACCTTGTCTAATTCTGCGGGTAAAGCTAATCGGTATGCCACATTTCCCACTTTCTCGAGGATATCATATGGGCCAATGAATCTCGGACTCAGCTTCCCCTTCTTTCCAAATCTCATTACTCCTTTTGTCGGGGAAACTTTGAGTAGAACTTTGTCCCCCACTTCGTATTCATCTGGCCTTCTCCCCTGATCTGCGTAAGACTTTTGTCGGTCTTGAGAAGTTTTCATTCGCGCTTGTATCAGTTTGATCTTCTCTATAGTGTCTTGGAGATATTCTGGCCCTAACACCACCTTGTCTGTCATATCGCCCCAGCATAGTGGACTTCTACACTTTTGACCGTATAGAGCTTCATACGGTGCCATTTTGATACTGGCGTGGTAACTGTTGTTGTACGAAAACTCTATGAGGTCTAAGTGTTCATCCCATGATCCTTGTAGGTCTAGTATACATGCTCTCAACATGTCTTCTAATGTCTGAATCGTTCTCTCAGTTTGTCCATCTGTGGTTGGATGAAAAGCAGTGCTTAACTTTATTCTTGTTCCCATAGCAGCTTGTAACTCTTTCCAGAATTGAGATAGGAATCTTGAATCTCGATCAAAAACGATGTCTTGTGGTACCCCATGATACTTGACCACGTATTTTATGTAGGCTTTTGCTAGCTTTTCCATGCTCCAAGTTTCGTTCATAGGAATGAATCTCGCGGTTTTAGTCAACCGGTCCACTATCACCCATATTTTATCTTTTCCGGACTTTGTTAAAGGTAAGCCCCCAACAAAATCCATGGAGATGGAATCCCATTTCCATTTCGGTATTTCTAAGGATTGGACCAGTCCCTTGGGTTTGCACCGCTCTGCTTTCACCTTTTGACAGTTTAGACATCGAGCCACGAACTCAGCTACCTCCCTTTTCATTTTAGGCCACCAAAAGTTCTTTTTGACGTCTTTATATAACTTATCACCTCCGGGGTGCACCGAGTAAGGTGTGTTATGTCCCTCTTCCATAATTTGCTTCTTGACTTCCTCGCATTTCATTGGGACACACCATCTTCCTTTGTATCTTATACTCCCGTCTTTGTGTAGCTTGAACGGACCATTTACACCATCTTTCATTCCAACTCGAATTCTATCCAACTTTACATCTCCAGGTTGTCCCTTCATGATCTCTTCGAAGATAGAGGGTATAATGGTCATGGTATATAATTGTATTTCACTATATGTTTCTCCACACTCTTTCACTTCCAAATTTAGCTTTTGAAAGTCTTGGTAGAGTTCATTTGGCAATATCCAGGTTGCTTTACATGAGTGTTCTGATTTTCGGCTTAAGGCATCTGCTACCACGTTGGCTTTTCCTTCGTGATATTGAACTTCCAGATCGTAGTCTTTAATCAGTTTGAGCCATCTTCTTTGCCTCATATTTAGTTCCTTCTGCGTGAAGATGTACTTTAAGCTTTTGTGATCAATGTAGATCTTGCATTGCGCTCCATAGAGATAATATCTCCAAAGCTTCAGCGCGAAAATTACCGCAGCCAGTTCCAAATCGTGTGTAGGGTAGTTAAATTCACGAGTCTTTAGTTGTCTTGATGCGTATGCTACTACTTTTCCATTTTGCATCAATACACAACCCAAACCTTTCTTTGAAGCGTCACTATAGATCTCAAATCCTTCTGTCCCGGATGGAAGTGTCAAGACAGGTGCAGTTGTCAATCGTCGCTTTAATTCTTGAAAGGCTTTATTGCAATCATCACTCCATATAAATTTAGTATTTTTCTTTGTTAGGTTGGTCAAGGGTCTTGCTATTTTAGAGAAGTCCTTCACGAACCTTCGATAATAGCCTGCTAGACCTAAGAAACTTCTCACTTCTGTCACCGTGGCTGGTATAGGCCATTCTATCACGGCTTCAATCTTTGATGAATCAACAGATACCCCTTCTTGAGTAATGATATGACCCAAGAATGCTACTCGATCCTTCCAGAAGTCGCATTTTGAGAGTTTGGCATATAGTTGGTTATCTCTCAAGGTTTGTAGTATCATTCTGAGATGCTCCTCATGATCCTTCCGTGTTTTCGAGTATATGAGGATATCATCAATGAATATTACTACAAACATGTCGAGGTATGGCCGAAACACACAGTTCATTAGATTTATGAATATCGCTGGTGCATTAGTTAAGCCAAATGGCATCACAGTGAATTCATAATGCCCGTACCTCGTACGAAATGCAGTTTTTGGTATGTCTTTTTCAACGATCCTTACTTGATGATACCCGGACCTCAAGTCTATCTTGGAGAATGTGCTAGCCCACTTCAATTGGTCAAACAAGTCGTCAATGCGAGGTAATGGATATTTATTCTTGATAGTTACTCGATTGAGTTCTCGATAGTCTATGCATAATCTCATGCTCCCGTCTTTCTTTTTGACAAATAAGACCGGAGCGCCCCAGGGTGAGACACTTGGTCTTATATATCCTTTCTCTAGTAGCTCTTCAATTTGCTTCTTTAACTCTTGCATTTCTTTTGGTGCCATTCGATAGGGTGCCTTTGAAATTGGTGCGGTTCCTGGTATTAGATCAATGAAGAACTCAACTTCTCTTTTAGGTGGCATTCCCAGAATCTCCTCCGGAAATACGTCTGGAAACTCATTGACAACAGTGATTTGATCAATAGTCTGCTCACCAGCGTTTAGATCTGTGATCATGCATAGATAAGTTTCACATCCCTTTCGGATGTAACGTTTTACTTGTTGCATGGTTGCTAACATCACGCCGGGCTTGGTTGTCACTGCTTTGTAGGATACTCTCTTTCCGTTGAGGTCCTTCATGATCACCTTCTGTTCATCACATAGAATTCTTCCCTTGTACTTCCCGAGCCAGTCCATCCCCAGCACCACATCGATATCTTCCAAATCAAATTGGATTAAATCTCTGGGTAGGTTGATCTCGGCTATACGTATAGGAATGTTTGAGTATACATTCCCACACGCTACAATTTTATCTGTTGTCGTTCTCACGTTTAGATTTATTCTAGTTGTAGGTTCTATTCCCATCTTTTCCACAAATCTTGACGATATGAAACTATGAGAAGCACCTGAGTCAAATAAGACATAAGCAGGTATAGAATTTACGGAGAATGTACCTGAGACAACATCGCCAGCATTGGCTTGAGCTTGGTTCATTACAAAGATCCGCCCTTGGTTGGGATTATTGCCTCAATTCTTATTGTTGTTGTCCCCTCCCCTGAGGTTGCGGTTGTTGTTATTGTTGTGCTCCTGACCTCCACTGGGTCCAACTCGATTTCCTTCAAGCCTTGCTCCATCTCTATTTTGCCCTTGATTTGGTGGCAGGTCCATCTTTTTAGAGTTGAACTCGAATGCCCTATGTCCGAGTTTGTTGCAATTAAAGCACTTCGTTATACTCCCGTCACAATTAGTCCCCGGATGATCCTTTCCACATCTTTTACAGAAGTAGTGCCTCTCCCTCTGTGCATATCTCGTGTTTATCTTTCCTTGATCATTGTCCCGCCTTTTCCACTCGAGTTGTTGCCCCGGTGGATTGGGTTTAAACTTCTTGTCCCCGTGCTTTCGATTATCATCTGGCTTCCTCGATTTCTTGTGAGTCTCACGCTGAATCTGTTGCACTCGATAGTGATTGGCTGCTTTTGTGTATGCATCATTTAGGGTTTGACATCCCAAAACGACCACTGCTTTCTGAGTATCATAGTTCAATCCATTGATGAATTTTCGGGCCTTACTGATTTCATCTGGCACGAGTGCTGGTGCAAAACGTGAGAGTTCTAAAAATCTCGCGTGGTATTCTTGGACGGACATATCTACCTGCTTTAGATGTATGAATTCCTCATACTTTGTGGCTTTGATGTGTTCCGGATAAAATCTCTCTCGTAAAGCTTCCTTGAATGCGTCCCAGTTGAAGTTGGTTTGTTGACGTAGAGTTGGTCCGATCGTGGCCCACCAGTTGTCGGCTTCTTGATGAAGATAGTAAGTAGCGATGTTAACTCTTTGGTCAGCAGGGCAGTTCACTGCCTCGAAAAGTTTTCAATGTCTGGGTGAGTTGAGTCAACTGCTGAAGACCTTGTGCCAACTCAGCACTTGTGGGTGTTCTATCAGACATGATTCTTAAGATGGAAAATGTGTATAAGCAGAAGTCTAATTATGACATATTTAAAGAATAGGAGATAATAATGTCCTCATATTCTACAAATTATCCTTTTATATAAAAGAGATCACCACATCACATATACATGCGTTTCACAGAGCACAAATATATATTATCATATAGCAATTACACAAAAGTAATCTCACAATTCTCACCGCGATCCTAATTTTTTTTAATAACCTATTTCTTAATTCAGTTATTTATTAGTATTTCAGAAAATGTTTTGAAAAATCCCCTTGAAAAACCTTAGTCTCTGATACCAACTTGTAACACCCCCAAATTCCCTTCCCAAAATAATACTTAGAATCACAGAATTTGTTTATTAAAAATAAACATTCAAAAGTTATGCAACGGAATATAACATTGAACATGAGCGTGTCACCGCCACATTCAGCCTTTATAACTGAATGATAAGGCTATCCACCATTATTAAATATAACTTCAATAGAGGTAAAGAGTTTCTAGCTCATTATTTAAAATACTATACATTACTTTTATTTCTAGATTTTCTAAGTTGCGCTCTCGAAGTTCGTCATTCGTCATTCGTCATATTCATCACCTGAAAATTTACACAGAGAAAAGAGAAAACAAAAAGAAACTAAAATTAGCTTTCACTAAGTAAGATTCCACCCAACCCCGTAAAATAATATAATTTGGAGAAAATATCTATATTTTGTATATATGCAGACTATAGATTGAAATATTATATATATTTGAATATTATAATTCAAATAATTGTCATAATAACCAATAGAGCATTCAAAAATAATCCAATGTCTCATATCATATGTATATATTAGAAAAATAGTAAGAATTCTAAAGTTGGTCTTTTCTCCACAGATTCTAAAGTTTCTTTTAAAGATGGGCGAAACTCAAGAGTCCTTGAGTCCAATGAGTTGTTGTTATTTACAACCCATCCCGGAATTCCGGCTCCCACCGACCACCTGTTGGAAACTGAACTTCTACCTTAAGTGTGCACCCCCCCTAAAAGGGATTCCAAGCCCTCCGGGTAGTAAGAAGCCCAAGTAGCCCGAGTAGTTTATACCAGCTATTCCTCAAAGGGATATACTCCCTGAGTGACTAGGAAACTACTACTGCGACCACCAAAGGACTTTTAAAGTCCTCACAAAAATACCGGAATGTCTACCGGATATTAATAATCCACAATAGTACCGAATCCACCAAAAAGCAATAGTAGCCCCTAACCACCCCCCTCACAATTAACGGTCGTGAAGGAGACCGACACCACATGTTTCTCTCGTGATGCCCACAATTGAAAAATAATTTTTATCTGTAATTCTTTCCAAGACCCAATATCTTTTATAGATAGATAAAATTCCAACTTTCTAAGAATAAGGATATTTGATCCTTAAAGTCAGATCTCTCAAAATAGCTTCAAAATATGACAAACTATGTAAATAGCTCAAAATACGAAATACAACATAAATAGCTCAAACCCAAATAACATTTACAATCATAATTCATAATTCAAATACTCATAATTTAATTTGATGCCAAATAATCAAATAAATAGAAGTAACATTCACACATAGATTTACGAGGTAAAAATATAATTTTGGTTGACATGGAACTTACCTTAGAATTGTAGCACTTTCAACACTCTTTTATTTCAGTCTTGGCAATTATCACCTTTAGTAATCATGAAGTTGCATAATCAGTATTTTATTTTATTTTTGATAATTTACCCAATATTGAATAATTGATTTATAAAGTTTGGGACTGATCAGTTCATTATACGGATCAGAGTAACTTATTCAAAAACACACCTTCATTTATTTTATTAATTATAATATTCATATAAAATAGTCCGTTCATATCATTGTATTATTATTAATCACTTAGTCCTTTTATCTTAATAAGTCATTTATTTAGTCATCTTATACTATTTTTATTATCCTACCAATAACAAATTCAACATAATTCCTTCTAATATTCTCACAGTCAAATACCCTTATTTTTATCTGAATTGCAAATCATTATTACTATACTCTGTATCTATGCTTATTATCCCGTATTAGAGTTACTGTTATTATTATTAACTAACTCATATGGTTTAATATTTTCAGATAGCTTTTGTTTAATACCAAGTAATTAAGTGTCCAGTTACATAATTCAAACTAGACTCCATCCCATTTATATTAAACAAAAAAAAGAACGTAATTGATTATTACGTACGTCTTCTTCCTTACGAAGGGACAACCGGCAACGACGCAGGCTTCTTTCCACGCGGCAACTTCTTCCGGCGGCAAGAGCGGAAGCTTCTACTTCTACGGACCAGCAGTAGGTCGTCCTAGCGATGGAGTCAAGTCCGGTATATCTTCTGCTTCGTTTTTCTTCTTCTCCGGCAAAGATGGCGGCCGGCGATTTCCAGACGGCGTGTAGTGGTCTCCTAGCTTTCTCTCCCTCTACTTCCTTACGTATATATGTATATGTATTTGTTTGGTCGTTTTTGAGCATGGCTGGCTAGGGAACGAAGTCCATTTATATACATATATGTTGGTGCTATCACAAAGGTTCGGATGATTACTATTTTGTTTGTTTTGTTCAAAATTGTCCATGTATTGGGATGATTCAGCTATTTCCTTGCTGCGTGGATGGTTATGTGTATATTAACGTATGTATATATATATGGGTATGTATATATATATGGGTATGTATGTATATATGGGTATGTATGCGTGTGTCGTAAGATGTATATATGTCAATCATGTAGTATTATATATGTATATTAACGTATGTATGTATATATGGGTATGTATGTATATATGGGTGTAGTAATATATCAATACACGTACATAGGCTCATAGCTATTTGAATAGTCAAACTTGTATATATTAATATTGGTGTGTATATTTTAAATTTTTATTGTAATATACTTTCATTATTTTAGGTTTTATATTCTAAGAATTTTATTTGATTAAGATTTTAATAATATCAATTTATTTTATATTATTTAAATTTTCGGGATGTCACAGCAATGACACTGGTGTTGTCACAGAGTAGCTTGATCTCCTTTGCATGAATGCCATAATCCTTGAGTTGTTGCTTCATCCAGAGTAGCTGAGCACAACAACTCCCAGCTGCAATGTATTCAGGTTCAGCTGTGCTTGCTGAGATAGAGTTCTGCTTCTTGCTAAACCAGGAGACAAGTCTCCCACCTAGCAGTTGGCAGTGACCAGAGGTGCTCTTTTTGTCTAACCTGCAACCTGCAAAATCTAAGTCAGAGTAACCAATTAGTTCAAAGTTACCTCCCTTTGGATACCATAGGCCTGCATTTGGATTTCCTTTGATATATCTTATGATTATTTTTGCAGCACTGAGATGGCTCTCCTTGGGCTTTGATTGGTATCTCGCACAGATTCCAACAGAGAAGGATATGTCTGGTCTGCTTGCAGTTAGATAGAGAAGAGATCCAATGATTCCTCTATACATTATTGCATCAACATCTTTTCCTTCATCATCTGGTCCAATTCCCTGAGAGGTGTTCATGGGAATCTTTACTGATGATTTTCCTTCTATCCCAAACTTCTTGATCAGGTCTTTGGTATACTTCCCTTGGTTGATAAAGATTCCTTCTGGAACCTGTTTCACTTGCAGTCCTAGGAAGTAGCTCAGTTCTCCCATCATACTCATTTCAAATTGACTCTGCATAACTTGAGAGAACTTACATAGTTCTTCATTAGTACTTCCAAATATAATATCATCAACATAAATTTGTACTAGCAGAATATGGTTAGCAACAGAGATTTGAAATAAGGTTTTGTCAACCTTTCCCTTAGTAAACCCATGGTTTACTAGGAAAAGGGACAGTGTGTCATACCACGCTCTGGGAGCTTGCTTAAGACCATAAAGAGTCTTTCTATGCTTGTAGACACAAGAGGATTGAGTAGGAATGATAAAACCTGGTGATTGTTCCACATAAACTTCTTCTTCAAGATCTCCATTCAGAAATGCACTCTTGACATCCATCTGGTAGACCTTGATGTTGTTGTAGGCAGCATAGGCTAGGAAGATTCTGATGGCTTCAAGTCTGGCAACTGGTGCAAAGGTCTCATTAAAATCGATTCCATCTTCTTGGCAGTATGCCTTAGCTACCAGCCTTGCTTTATTCCTTACAATGTTGCCATCTTCATCTGCTTTCTTCTTGAACACCCATTTGGTTCCAATGACACTCTGATGCTTTGGTCTGGGAACAAGTTCCCATACTTTGTTCCTTTGAAATTGAGTAAGCTCTTCTTGCATTGCATTGATCCAGTCTGAGTCTTGAAAAGCTTCTTCTACAGTCATAGGTTCCATCTGGGAGATGTAGCAGGCAAACATTGCTTCCCTTCTGGTTGTGGCAGATCTGGTTTTCACACCACTTCTGATTTGACCATTTACTTGGCCTGGTGGATGATCTCTTAGCCATGTTAGATCAGGTTCTTTCAGTTGTTGTCTAGGCTTCTCTGGTTGCTCATCTTCTTATTCTTCATCTTGATGTAATAGTAGGGGGTTGGGTGCAGGTGTTAGAAACACAGGGTTAATTGTTACCTTTTATGTTGGTTCAGAGGTTCTGTCCTCTAGGTTGATTTCCTCTAGGTTCTCTGTTATTTCTTCAACAGAGGTGCTATCATCGAACTTTACATGTATGGATTCTTCAACATGTAGGGTCCTTTTGTTGAGTACTCGATAGGCTTTGCTTGAACTGGAGTAGCCTATGAATACTCCTTCATCAGCCACTTTTAGATGCTCTTTTCCATTATTGAGAATGTAGCATTTGCATCCAAATATGTGAAAGTAGCTGATGTTGGGTTTCATTCCTTTCCATAGTTCATACGGGGTCTTCTGATGATTCTTGTTGATCATGCTTCTGTTCTGGGTGTAGCATGTAGTGTTGATTGCCTCAGCCCAGTATCTCATTGGTAGTCCTGATTCAGCAATCATTGTCCTATCAGCTTCTTTTAAGGTTCTGTTCTTCCTGTCTGCTACGCCATTTTGTTGATGTGTTCTGGAAGCAGAGAGTTGATGAAATGTTCCATTTTGATCACAGAAGCCCTTAATGACTTGGTTCACAAATTCAGTTCCTCTGTCAGATCGGATTGTCCTGACATTCATATTCTTTTCAGTTTGAAGTTGCTTCAACAGAGATGGCAACTTCTGAAGTGTTTCATTCTTCTTTGTCAAGAAGATTGTCCATGTGTATCTGGAGTAGTCATCAACCATGACTAGTGTGTATTTCTTTCCACTGACACTGGGAGTTTCAGCAGATCCAAATAAATCCATGTGGATGAGATTTAAAGGACTAGTGGAAAGATTTCCAGCAACGGGTTTGAAAGAGTTCTTCACTTGTTTTCCCTTCTGGCATGCACCGCAGAGGGTCTCTTTCTTGTACACTATGTCTGGCAGTCCATCTACAATGTGTTCTCTTGCCAGTTTGTTGATTGTTTTAAAATTCAGATGGCTAAGCTTCTTGTGTCAGTCCTAGCTTAATTTGGAATCTCCCTTGGCTATCAGACATACTCCATCTTTTGCAATATTCCAATCAACCACATAGATATTCTTTTTCCTTCTTGTTGTGAGAACCATTTCTTTTGTTGTCTCATGCTTTACATAACAGAAGTCCTTTGTAAATTCAACAGTGTAGCCTTTGTCACAAAACTGGCTAGCACTTAGCATGTTGAACTTCAGACCTTTGACATATGAGACATCATCAATGATTATTTGGTTCTTGATCAGCTTCCCTTTTCCCTTTGTCTGACCCTCTTTGTCATTTCCACCAAAGGTAACTCTGGGTCCATTCAGCTTTTGGAACTCTGTTAGGCAACTTCTGTCACCTGTCATGTGCCTGGAGCATCCACTATTAATAAACCATTCATGTTCAGGGATAGCTCCAACACACAGTTCCTGCAGGATTAAAAGAAAGATTTAGGTACCCAAACAATGTTAGGTCCTAGGGGGTCATGGAGTCTTGGCAGTTGGTACTGTTTGTCCCTGTTTATATGATTACAGCAATATAATGATACTCAAAGATAAGAATAGCAGAAAGATAAACTCTCGAGATCCTTAAACTCGTCTTTGATATACCGTGAACTTCTACAGTAAGAATGATAAGCTCTAAGGCTGTAAAGATCGAATGCAAAAGTTAACGCAAACCTTACCCTTAAACGCCTTTTTATATGCGCAGTTAGGTTTGCGTACAGGCTTTACGCCTTGTATATGGGCCAGACATTTGGGCCCCATACCCTTTACTACTCTAATAAATACAACAATTAATACAATCAATGAGTAATAAAGGCTATACTAATACAAGACTCTTGACAAACTTGATACACAATAAAATATTCTTCAACAATTCCCCCTTTGTGATCAAGTGCCGTCTTGCTTTTATTTCTGAGCTTTGAAGTAGTTTTTCCTGATGTTTAGCGCGTGCTAATATTGTCTGGGGATGTTTCTCTTCTCTAAGCGTTCATCAATTGCTTTCAGAATGAGAGTCAGCACGTCATGCTCCTTTTGAGTATATGTAGATGCATCCTCAATTCTTTTGTCAAGCTCTTCCTTTTCTTTTTGTAGCTTCTCTTGAATGATTTTCAACGTCCCATCACAGAATTTGTGGATCTCTTCAACCACCATCAGGCGTTTTTCATCCTTGTGGTTCAGATAGACTACTGCAGGTGGAGTGAAGAAGATGTGGTATGCAGGAGAGTCCTCAAGCTCCGGACCATACAGTTTCGGCTATGATAGATTTGCTTTTGGGATATTATTCTCCAGAGCCATTTGGAAGTCATGAGAAGCGTTGACTCGAACTTGTCTCAGCATGAACCGCTTGATTGCTTCAAAGCATTCTTTGTAAGTTCGATTTCTGCTGATCGGTAGGTATCTGTATGCCATAAACATCCCATAAATATCATCCATTTTGAGCATTATGAAGTCATTTACTTGGCATACAAATTCAGTACTGTCAGTGCGCTGGACTTTGTATGAGTAGAATCTGATTTTATGATGATCTTCGGCTTTGACTTCTAGTATTGCATGAACAAGATGTGTACTAGACTTCAGATCTTTTTCCAAAAGTTGTCGTTGAGACCCTGAAGATCTATGAAGTAGCATGTGAAGGTGACTTCCTGCTTCTTTTCCTTTCAGATGTGTAAGTCCGTGCATTTTCAGTTCATTTAAAGGTCTAACCTTCTCCGGTTTACACCAGACGCGCTTTCTGAGTTCCTCTTGGAAGGGGGCTTTGATTCTAATGTTCTCCCAAGGTTTCTCATTCTTGGGAAGTCGTCCCGCCGTTTGTCTGATTATAGATTCCAATTCCTTGGGAGTTTCTTTATAATTTTACCCTTCTTTGAGTTCCTCTTCATCAAGCCTTATGATGTCGGTTGCACACTTGGCAATCAATTTTTGCAATAACCAGCTCCTCTACATGTCCTCAGTTTCTTCATCACTACGAATTTGATCCCACTCCGTCCATTCCTTAGGCCACTTGTCATGTACAACGATATTTTCAAGTGCATCGTGCATTGCCTCTGATGAAGGAGTGGTAGGAGCTGGTTTACTTGGTGGTGTCGGGAACCTGTACTTTGGAACACCGGGATCACAAGAATTTCCCGTTGTCATCAGTTCTGAATATGTTCTGACTGATGCCTGGAACAGTAGATGTATCGAAGATAGCATCCTCAGGACTTCCATCCCCTCCTCGGTTAGTACCTTTTGGGGGTACACCTCGGGATGTTGACTGATGGCCTGACATCAAAGATGTACCAATGGTGACACCATTAGGACTTCCATCCCCTCCTCGGACAGTATCTCTGGGAGATAAGCCTCGGGATGTTTCATCTAGCTCGACCAGGCTAGAAAGTTTTTCTAGGTTTCGGTTTTGGGTGGAAGCATGTGGTTGTTGGTTGGTTGAGGCTTCAGGTTGATCGGGTTGTGAAGGTTGGCTGGTGGAAGCGGCTTGCTCAAGTGTTCGTGGCCGCTTGTTCTCCCCCTCATGAGGTTCCGAATCGTCGGGACCATCATGTGAACGTTTGCGACCACGAGGACTGTCACGGCAAGTGCTTTGGAGGTCAGAAGTACCCAACAGAGCACGAAGGATGGTTTTTTGGTAAGGGGTGAGGTCTTTGGCATCAATGGCAAGAAGTTTGGCGAGCATAGCGGATGCTAGGTCATCGAAGGATAGGTTCATGAGGTCAAGACGAGGAGTGGTCGGGAGTGGGGATGATACTAGTTGTGTATCATGGGTTCCCCAAGAAGGTGTAGGGCTAAGGGGTTTCAGGAAAGATGAGGCGGAGATAGCGGGGGTGGTATATGATTGGGAGTGAGAGGGAATGGGTTGAGTTTGGGGCTGGCTTTGTTCACTATGAACCGCTGGGGTGGGTTTGAATTCCTATGCCCAAACGGTAAATGCTTCGTGCACCCATGGTTTAATAGTGGAATCCCAAAAGCGATTCATGAGAACGGTGACATCTTCAGGTGTAAGGGTAATAGTTACAGGGGTGGTAACTGTTGAGACAGTATCAGTGAAGATAGCTGATGTGTGGCCTGCGTTGAATGGCGGAGCCATTGTTTGCTTGACAGGGCTTCCGACCGTCATTGTTTGCACTCGGGTCGTTGCTTTCAGGGTGTGTGCACATGTCGGTGCAGTGAATAGTGTAGGTGTCCTAGAAAAGGTAGAAAATGTGGGAAATGTGATACCTAGACTCGATGTGATTGGGAGAGGGGTTGTGGCCTCGGGCGGTTGGCCACTAGTTCTCTCAACTGATTCAGAAGGAACCATATAGGTGGGTGAATCCCGAGATGTTGAAACTCTAGCCTTTTGGGAGGCCAAAGAGTGGCTGGGCGAGGGCTGTGCATGCGCAGTTGAGCCAGATGCTGCGGCTTATACTTGGGAACCAAAAAGATCGGCTCCTGTACTTAGGGATGAGAATCGGCTTATGTGGATAAAGGGATCACAATCAGCAAAAATGGACATCTCATCTTCATCAATCAGCCCTCTTGTAACCAGACGCTTTTTCAATGGCTTGGAATCAGAATGGTCCGATCCTAAGCAAAAATGGCATCAGAATCACCCTCATGTTATTTAGCTTGGTCAGGATTTTGGTCCGATCTTTCTTGGACTCTGTGCGCATGTGACCCCAGAATTGTTGAAGGTATATCTCTGGCACAGGTTTGGCGTTGTTGAGTGCGGGCCAGAGATAGTGACCTCTCATGATCGTTGGGATGACTGGGTCCTTACATTTGAACACAGTCAGGTCTAGCTGGGAGTTGTTATCCAGCACTTTGATCCATTTCTCCCTTGGGTAGATGGTGTCGTCAATCGGTGCCTGATTTGTGCCTGCCATAATGAACTGTAGAGAGAAGGGGTCAGCACATAAGGTCTTTTATTTTCGGTTTGTTTCTGAATTTTTTGATGTTTTTGGATTTTTCAAAAAGATGGGGTGCAGGTGGAATTTGTCGAAAATTTTCTAAGGCAAAACCTCGAGATCACGATCTGTTAGTACCCAATTTTGATAGATTTTGATGTTGCCACTATACATTGCACTAGTACATTGTGTCTTATTTATTTGTGTATTAGTATTCAAAAGTGACAAAATAAATGAACAATTGTTTAGGCTAATAAAATACTATCGGAAAACTCAAAATGCAATAAGGTAATTTTTTTTTACCTTAATAGGATATTTAGATCCTACCAACATGTAATTCATTAAATCTTAAAAGTTTAATTGTCACAAGTAAAAAGTCACATATGTAGGTAAAATACATACTCTACATATATAATTGAAGACAAGAAATGACGAGCAATTAAATGCTCGATAAACGTACAGGGACCCAAAGCATGGGATACAGCCTAGGTCTGCAGCGGCTAGAAAAAACAAAAGAGATATCGGCTCCAGCAAAAGAAGACAAACAACAACATGTTATCTTCTGCGAAACAAGGAATCAACGAACAAGATTAAACTCATCCTAACCAACAGATGAGATTAATCAACCGGAGACGCCTATAAATATAGGCTGAAACGAAAGTTTCTAACCAAGCTTTGAGCATCCAAAAAGTAGAGAAATACATTGAGCATTCACGAGATATCTAGCAAAACAGAAAGTGTGAAACTATACTTTACTCTCTGCTTGGACTCATGCTTCACTAAATTTCGAAGTTACAAGTATTCATTGATAAGTCCTAGAAGTTTAGTTCCTAGTTGGAGGTTAGAACTTTCTTGTAACAAATCACAAATTGTTGTAAACACTCAGGAGGACAGTTGTTCCCGGCCTGAAGTGTGGTTAGATAGGTCAGGAGTACCTTTTGATCCTATTGGATCAATTGAGAAAAACCTAAAGGATTGAGTAGCTTGGAGTGGTGTTGTACTCCTCGTGAAACACCTTCAATCTAGGCCAGAGTTGTCAAGGCTAGATTGGCACTAAGTGTATTGGGCTTAATACTTTAGTGAAATCCATCTGAAATAGGGTGGGACTGGATGTAGGAGGATTACACCACCTCTGAATCAGGATATACTGTGTGTTGATTTGCTTTCAGTCAACAGAGCACACACCCAGCACTTCTTCATTAAAGGGATCTTAGTTTGCCAGCAACATCCTAAGCAGTAGTCTTAATTGACTATACTGCTTATCCTACTGCTTAATAACTTACTTTTTCTTGAGACAACTGTTTCACAAGAGCTTCGGAACATCACTACTAAAAGGTCTGTTTTGCCTATTCTCAGAAATTCTTCTTTCATACGCAGCATGTGGCTTAGCAGTTTCCTGGGTCTACCCAACTACTTAGACCTCTGCTTATGCAAAACCCATTATCATCTACAGTTCAGTACATATTCAGAAAGCACTCATCATTCTATATAAGGCCATACAATCATCTCTCCCAAACTCCTATTTCCCACTAGCAGTTGCCTCAGCAGTCCCCTGCCATCCAGGCAACTGCCAAGCCAATTGCTCATTGTTTAAAGTCCAAACATCATTCAAGCTAGAAAGTTGTCACACACTAATCATCAAGAGGCTAAAGACCTCCGTTGTGCATCTATAAATCTCCCAAAAGATTTTAGATCAAATCATCTAGAAGGGAAAAGTTTTCAAAGTCGAAAAAGCTTTGAAAGTCTATTCCCCCCTAGACTTTTACCTCTATCCGGGACGATCAAGTGGTATCAGAGAAAGTGTTCCTAGAGTCAGTTTCTGACTAATTTGAACTAAAGATCCAAATCCACTTCACTTCCCAAACACTTTCTAAAAATGGACAGTCAGTTAGCAAAGAATCTTTTGTTCAACTTGAACAAATTTGATGACTGGAAGATCAGGATGAAAGCACATCTCAGTGCCCTACATGATGAAATGCTGGATGTGATTACAATTGGACCTATCAAAATCATGAAGGTCAGCACATCTAAAACTGATGATCAAGAGGATGTGTACATTCCAAAACCCAAACCGGAATGGACAACTGAGGACAGGAAGAGAAACAATCTTGACAACATTGCCAAGGACATTCTCTTCAAATCTGTTGATGAATCCATATTTCCCAGAATCAGGAAATGTGAAACTGCCAAGGATGTCTGGGATGAGCTCACAAAGATTAGAGCAGGTGATGAACAGGAAAAGGACAATAAGCTGACCATAGCCCTCAAGAAATTTGAGGATTTTAAGATGCTGCCAAATGAATCTATCCATGAGATGGAGTCAAGATTCCTAAAGATTGTGGCAGAGGTCTTTGACCTAGGGAAAGAACTATCCCAAAAGGAGATCTCCCTCAAGGTCTTGAGAGGCCTACCCTCAAAATGGGACATGAAGGTAACTGCTATGAGAGATAGCAGAGATCTCAGAACTTTGTCAACTGACAAACTCTTTAGTGGTCTTAAAGCTTATGAGTTTGAGATGAAGGAGATTAAAGATGAAAAGGAAGATGAATCCAAGACACTGGCCTTAGTGTTTGAGCCTAGCACATCAAGATCAAATGAAAAATCCCTCAACAATCTCCTCACTGATGAGCAGTTTGCTATGTCTTTGAAGAAGTTCAAAAGATTCATGAGAAATGAGGGAACTGCCCAAAAGAAGCCGTACAACCAGCCACCCAGGAGACAAGGGAGATCTCAATCAAGTGAGGACACTGTCTTATGCTACAACTGTAGACAACCAGGACATTACCAAAATGAGTGCCATCTGCCATTGGCATAAAAGTACCAAGGGCAGCATGCAACTGCTCAAAAAGCTGGATACAAGAAGGACTTCAAAGGCAAGAGACAAGCCTTTGTAAGCGAAAAGAGAAAGGAGGAATCCCAAAGTGATGAGAAGAGCAGTTCAAGTGATGAAAGCTCCTCATCTGAAAGCTCAGAAGAAGCACTTCTATGCCTAGGATCCTGGCAGATGGCTGAAGAAGGCGGCAGTTGGCTCACTAGAGAAAGCAACAGGGGGCTCAATGAGCCTTCCACAAATAAAGGAGAAGATGATGAAGGCTGCTCCCCCATATGCTTAATGGCCAAAGACCAATACAATGATGTTGAGGTAACATTCTGCTCTTCCTATAGCTCTAGTGATTCTGGACCAACCAATGTCACACTGGAATCTTTACTACAAGATTTCCAAAAAATCCAAGATCACCATGTTCTCTTAAGATCAGAAAATGATAGATTAAAACAAGACATTAAGGCTATTCATGTTAAGTTATTAGATGCTTTAACCAAAAATAATGTCTTAGAAGAAGAGAACAAAGAGCTAAAAAACAAAATGAATAACTTCAGCATGAATAGTAAAACTAATGACCTTACTGCTGAAGTTGTTCTAAATAGGAAGAGAAGAGGTCTCGGCTATGTATCTCCCACCAGACTCACTCAAAACTCACCCTCCACAAGCCAACAAACAAACACAAGAAAGCTAATCTACCAAAAATCTCATTCCCAAAATGTTCCCACAAGAAGGAACCTGCCTGCTCCCAAATCAAAATCCAAATCCCTGTATAAACAAAAACTTCACAACCATCAAAACCCAAGAACTCGTTGGCAACCAACCAATAGGACCAACCACAGTCAAAACACTAAGCAGTCCCCTCCAAAAACCAATAATCCATTTCCCACATCAAGAAGGAAAAGGATTAACAAATACATAGTCACCCCCTATGATTACAACACCTCAAATGGATATAGACCAATCTACTTAGAGTTAAATGGCTCTAGATGGGCATGGATGCCTAAACTTGTACAAGGGAAGTTGCCCACTAACTTGTGGGCTACTGCTCAACAATGATGAATACAGGAAGGTGCTGGAGCATTTGACTCACAAATATGGTACATAGACTCAGGATGCTCCAGGCACATGACATGCAACAGGTGGATCCTTTCAAATTATATGGCTAGGGAAGGACCCAGAGTAACATGTGGGAATGTGGAAAAGAAAGGAGAAACCAAAGGAGCTGGAGTCCTATCAATCAATGGACTCATAATCCAAAACATATCTTATGTTAAGGGTTTGAAGTTCAATCTCATAAGCATAATCCAGCTCTGTGACAATGGTTATAATGTTACATTCTCCAAAGACATCTGCTTGATCAAAGATGTCAAAAATGAAAAAGTTGTGCTCACTGGTAGAAGGAAGAAGGACATGTATGTTGTTGATTGGAGTTCAGCTAGGGAAGGGATCTGCTTGGTGACAAAGGCAGATTCAAATCTAAGTTGGGAATGGCATAACAAACTCAGCCATCTCAACTTCAAAACCATCAACAAACTGTCCAGAAAAGGATTGGTGAAAGGACTCCCAGAAATCAATTTCAAGAAGGACCATCTCTGTGATGCTTGCCAGAATGGAAAACAAACCAAGGTATCATTCAAATCCAAAGAAGTGGACTCATCAACTAGACCTTTGAGCCTACTACATCTTCACTTGTTTGGACCAGTTGAACCAACAAGTTTAAGTGGCAAAAGGTACACTTTGGTTATAGTTGATTATTACTCTAGATACACATGGACCTTATTCCTCAAGAAGAAGAATGAGACAGAGAAGAAGCTTCCTGAATTGATGAAGCTAATCCAAAATGAAAAGAGCCTCTCAATTCAGAAAATCCGGTCAGATAGAGGTACTGAATTCCTAAACTCTATAGTAATTCAGTACTGCGAAGAAAATGGAATCCATCACCAAACCTCTGCTGCCAGAACACCTCAACAAAATGGTGTTGCTGAAAGAAGGAATAGGACATTCAAGGAGGCTGGAAGAACAATTCTAGAAGCAGCTGGATTACCCAAAAGATTTTGGGCAGAAGCAATCAATACAGTTTGCTACACCCAGAATAGAAGTCTTATTCATAAGACTTACAAAAAGACACCTTATGAGCTATGGAAAGAAAGGAAGCCAAATGTTAGTCATTTCCATGTGTTTGGATCCAAATGTTTCATTCTAAACAATGGAAAGGACTACCTCAAGTCATTTGATCCCAAATCTGATGAAGGGATCTTCCTGGGCTACTCAGCAACAAGCAAGGCCTTCCGGATCCTCAACAA